TAAAAATTTAATATATATATATATATATATATATATATATATATATATATGTTTAATATTGATTATAAATAATTTTGTACATTCTTTTGAATTATTGTATTTATTAGATATTGTTCTTACTCCTCGTTTTTTCTCTATTTTTTTAAAATTAAATATATCACAAAATAGATGGATCTACTTGGGATTCCAGATCATTTTGCAGTGGTTATTGCTGTTGTTTTCCTTGGAAGGAATTGGAATGTAGAGACTGTTTGATGGATCTATTTTATTTCAATTGTAAATTTATTTCCATTATTAATGTAAATATTGTAATAGAAGTGGAAGAAAGAAATAATGTGTAAAATAGTACATTATTGCAAATATTATTTGTAAAAAAAATATTTCATTATTATCACGTATAATATTATTAATAATACATTTTTATTTTCAATATATATAAATATATATACGTATAATATTGGGATTTATAAATTGGGCGTTTCATGCAAAGCAAGATTATCAGGTAGGAGAAGAACAAAGGCCATTAATTTCTTCTAAGGTATTTTTTTTTAATTACCATTACTACTAAAATTGATTTTTATATTTATTTTGTAGTCTCGTAAGCAAAAAGGAAACTATAAGTGCGGATAATTTATAGTTTTACTCATTTTGTAATTTAGGATACATAATAATTTGTAAGTTACTTAACTTATTATGTACACATTTATGTATTACATGCATGTATTTTAAAAATATTTTGATTATATATATGGTTAACATTTACCAACTCTTGTCATTTGTATGTAATTTGGTCTATTGAAAATATATGAATTGTCTGGTATTTTATTAATTTGCAGGTTTTGTAAGTTTTGTTCAGAGATCCTCCTAAAATAAGTCAATTATTTTAAAAAAATTAACCACTTTTAACAGCGGTCATGCCATAACTGATGTTAAAAGTTAGACTTTTAAAATCGGTTTATGCATGACCGATGTTAAAATTATAACTTTTAAAATCGGTTATGGCATGACTGATGTTAAAAAGTCTAGCTTTTAACACGGTCATGCCATAACTGATGTTAAAAGTTAGACTTTTAAAATCGGTTTATGCATGACCGATGTTAAAATTATAACTTTTAAAATCGGTTATGGCATGACTGATGTTAAAAAGTCTAGCTTTTAATGTGATTATTGATGAGATTAAGTAGCTATAATTTGTGCTAAATTTTTTTGTCTTTATTATTAATGTGTGCTTAATTTTTATAATTTGTTTTTGCTGGACACTAACACATTTTGATATTGTTATTTTTTTAATATGTATTAATGTCATTACTGTATTTAAATATTTAATTTTTATAAATTTAATTCAAATAAATATTCAGTCTTTATAAAATACGATTGTTTTAGTTTTAATTTTTTTTTATTTGTAGTTAATTTTATTTTAGTTCTTTCAGAATTTTATTATTTCCGTTTTGATTTTTTTTTAAATTTTTTTAGTTTGATTATATAAAAAGTAAAATAAAAATATAACGACATAAATACCTGGATTAAATTTGAAATTAGATCATTAACCTTTTAATAAAATATAGGCTAAATACCTATTTTGGTACCTTATAATCTTTTTTTGTTTCAATGTAGTTTCTCATTAATTTTTTGTCTCAATTTGGTCTCAAACTAATTAATTAGTTTCAATTTAGTCCCAAATTAATTAATTGGTTTCAATGTGGGACTTCCGTCCAAATTATTTAAACGGAGTTAACTTTTGGCCATGTGGATGCCACGTGGATGCATACGTGGATGCCACGTGAATGACAATTTTGTTGGAAACACCTGGACTCAAAACGGCCCGTTCTGAAACCGAAATGGGCCGTTCTGGTTGCACTTTTGGTGTGTTAATTTTGCATCCGGAACGGCCCGTTCCAGGTGCAACATTAACACACTAAAAGTGCAACCAGAACGTCCTGTTCCGATTTCAGAACGGGCCGTTCCGGTTTATTTGTTTTATATATAAAATATTAATAATTTTATAAAATATATATTATTAATTATATTTTAATTATGTTGTTATATCTAATAAAATAAATATATTAATATTTTTTTATATTTTATTTTATTATGTTTATCTTATTAATTTTTATCATTTTATTCCTCTAATTTTAAATAAGTTGTAAAAAATTATAAAGTGATACTTAAATATTTCTTCAAACAGAAAGAGAAAAAGAAAAAATTATTACTCTATTTATAAGACAATTGTATTTTATAAAAATAAGTAATTTTAAAATTTTTACTATAAAAAAATATTTTTCAAAATTATTATATTTTTTAATAAAATTAATAAAGAATATTGGTTTAATTGCATTTTTTATCCCTCAAGTATTACAATTGTGCAGTTTTGATCCACAAGATTTTAATTGGGTAATTTTAGTCCTTAAAGAATTGCAATTGCGCGATTTTGGTCCTTCAATTTTTAATTGAACAATTTTAGTCCCTCGAATATCATAGTAGTACGATTTTAGTTTCTCCCATTAAAAATTAATAATAAATATATATCATTTAATACATTAAAAAAAATTATAATATACGTTAATTTAAATAAGCAAACAATTATATAGTTTTAAAACATTATATATATATATATATTAAAATTTTAAAATTATTAAATTTTTAATGAGAAAGACTAAAATTGCACAATTATGATATTTGAGATATTAAAATTGTTCAATTAAAAATTGTGAGACTAAAATTACACAACTAAAATCTTTTAAGGACTGAAATTACTCAATTAAAATCTTAGGGATCAAAATTGCATAATTATAATACTTGAGCGATCAAAAACACAATTAAGCAAAGAATATGCTATTCTCAGTTTTGGAACGGGCCGTTCTGAAATCAGAACGACCCGTTCTGATTTCAGAACGGCCCGTTCTGCTGCACTAGTGGTGTGTTAATTTTTGCATCTGGAACGGCCCGTTTCAGTTGCAAAATTAACACACCAAAAGTGCAACCAGAACGGACCGTTCTGGTTCCAGGTGTTTTCAAAAAATTGGGATCCACGTGGCATCCACCTATGCATCCACGTGGCATCCACCTATGCAACAGTTAACTCCATTAAAAAAATTTAGACGGAAGTCCCACATTGAAACCAATTAATTTATTTGGGACTAAATTGAAACCAATTAATTAGTTTGGGACCAAATTGAGACCAAAAATTAATGAAGGACTATATTGAAATAAAAAAAATTATAAAAGACCAAAATAGGTATTTAGCCTAAAATATATTATTTAAAATAAACTGGTCGGAAATTTTGGACATAACTTACTCTTCAATAATTCTATCAAATTGGTCTTTTGGAGTTCAATAATTTTTTTTCTTTTTGAGTAAATAAAATCTTTCATAGATAAAACAAATGTCTCACATATCATAAGGTAGAAGATTCACATTCATAACTCATAAATCATAACTCAAAGAGCCTTTCTTAATTGGTCAGAGAATCGATTTTAAAAGTAAAAAATGATCGATTTTAAAAGTGTTTTTTCTACTAGTGAAAATATATTTAAAGACACACACACACGCACACACAATAATCCAAACTAAAAACACAAGTATTAAATTATCAATCATATAACATCTATAACTAGCTACATTAGAGTAACCTAAATAGATACTGTCATCCTTTAGCATAACCCTTAAAATTTGCTCATGCTCCAACCTATTTATACCTTGCCTCCATAACATTGCAGTTCAACATTAAGGAAATGCAAGAGTAAGCTTGAATTCAAAAGAAACACATTGTATAGAAGTATTAAAATAACTATACAAAACTTTAGCATATAACATACACTTACAACTCAACAACATATCCAACTTGATACATAGACCACACAACTTACTAGCATATCAATTTAGTACGTCAAAAATACGACTATTCAACACAACATGTGGTCAACCCCATAACTCATTCAACAACACAATATGTAATCAACACAATAGTTCACAACACAACTATTTAACAACACAACAAATAAAACAACATTGCAACATAACAATGCATATCAACTTTCAACACACATCAACTTTACAACGAGTCAACACAACAACATGAAGTATCATCATGCATTTCAACTAAGAGATATTTTACAATACATGTGAATAATCTAAGTGACTTGACCCCCTACCAAACCAACTTAATAAGACAGTTTTTTTGGGTTTGCTAGATCAATAGCAAATTTGGATATCAATCCACAATACAACATGATTTCTCATATTTTGTCATTTAAACTAGAAAAGTCTAGTATTTAGGTCAAGGTTCGAACAAATTAAATGTGAGTCTACCACGACCTTAACATGCATAACTAAACCTATATGGAATTAGCTTGTTGACTACCATCCAAATACTGCACCCTTTTTGGTACTTAGTAAGGGATTTTGATCCCTGACCTTGTTCCTTACTCAATTGGTCACTTCATACACATATGGCTCGCCCCATACAGATCTACACTAGTTACTTTTAATTAGTATGACCCAACCTGACCCCTATATTGTATTAATTAAGGACCTAGAATAAACTTAACAATCTACTTTAAGAGACAATTATACTCAAGAAGGTTTTTCCAACAACTAGGTTTGTAGAGAACCACAACACCATATCCTTACAATGGAATATTCATCTTTTAAAGCAACATCTCTCATTTAGTCTTAAGTCAATCAACATAGTATAACTACACATTTCAAGCATTCACAATCAACTACTTCAACACTACACTTCATACAACTCTACTACAATTCAACTTCAATTCTTAATCAACTTACAACTTTAAGCAACTTAAACATTGTGACACCCTCTACCCCAACATTAATACACAATAAATGTAAACAATAATTTTTTTTCTTTTTGAGTAAATAAAATCTTTCATAGATAAAACAAATGTCTCACATATCATAAGGTAGAAGATTCACATTCATAACTCATAAATCATAACTCCAATGTAGAAATGACAAAAGAAAAGAAAAACTAAAGTTTTCAAAACAATTTAATGGTTCACAACCCAGCATGAGATAAGAATGCCAACGAAATACACAAAGACATGGGACACTGGAAAGAGCTCTTCTCTTATTCCTATCTTATTTTAGTTGCTGATGCTACCCGAAACCAGAAGCAAACCAATATCACCATGGAACTTAAATTCAAATCATAGAGGGATTAACTTACAATTTTAAAATCTTGATTTCCATCAAATTAGCCGGTCATGGGTTTATGGCTTTGATTATTATATTATGATACCCAATCTAATGCTAATTTTTTAATGCTTCACATGTTATGGCAAGTTGCATAGTCAATTAAATGTAAGTCCATCAACATAGGGGGGTGAATAGCGCTCAATGTAGCAAGTTCTTGGCTGTTATGTGGTGGACATGGCGGTGGCGTAATATGGACGTGTTAGGAGGAGAAGAGTGGAATATGGAGCAGGTCCGTTATAAGATTAACTCCACACTGTGTGATTGGAACAATGCTTTCGCAGGCGAGCAAGTGCATTCTCATGAGGTGCAGGAAGTCACATGGTGTAAGCCAACTCCCCCAATGGTGAAAGTCAACGTAGATGGTAGTTATAAGAGTGGGGATCTCTGCGTGGGCTTTGGAGGAGTTATTCGGGACCACGAAGGGACTTGGAAGACGGGGTTTTCTGGGCGGCATCAAACCACATCAGTGCTGCTGGCCGAGTTATTGGGATTGAAACATGGATTGTTGCTTGCGTGGGATGCTGGTTTTAGAGAGGTGCAATGTGAAACAGATTCTTTGGAAGCCTTTAGGCTGGTGTCTATGGCACATGTTCCCAAATTTCACAACTTTGGGGTGGTTATTCAGCAGATACGTGAATTGCTAAGGCGTGATTGGAGGGTAGCACTTTCTCATATTCTGCGTCAGGGGAATGCTTGTGCAGATATCTTGGCAAAGATGGGGGGGTCTCTTGATAGGCCTTTTGTTGTCTTTGGCTCTCCTCCTCATTCGTTATGTGAAGCTCTACGTGATGATGCTAGAGGACGTTCCTTCCTTCGTTTGTAGTTTCTTTTAATTTCCAGTGCACCAAAAAAAAAAGTCCATCAACATAGGTCTTGAATAAATTAATAAAAATATAAATGGATTAGATCAAACACCGACCGCCGGCCACTATGAACATTCAATAATGATGCACAAATAGTATAAATATTTTAATTTTAATAATCTAGTCCTCTGCTTCACAGGCCGATTAAAAAATATTTTTTTAACTTTTTATATAGTAATTGGATTTAAAAGGTAGGTGAGGGTGAGGTTGAAACATAAACTCTTTCCGTGAATTAAATTATTGAACTAAAGTTTTCCAAAACTAAAGAAGATTTTTATAAACAATTTCTAAATAAGCAAAATATTTTACAGAACATTTTTATAAAGTCTAAAATTAATTAAGACCATTTTGACATAATACAATGTTTTTGAGCATAACTTGAGTGGTAAAAGTCAAAACGATGTGAGATAGTTGTGAATTTTAAGGATAAAATTATCTGCAATATGGAGTTTAGAATATTATGTATGATGGAATGTAAAGTGAACATGGATCACTATAAAGTGGTGGTGATTTTTGTTTTTGAGCCATCTTCCTCGATGAGTCAATTGTGTGCAATAGCTGACAGTGTAATAGCATAGGAACTCCAGACCATGGATGTTATATATGGAGGATTTGTTGTTCTATATATGAAAGGAATAAGGCACAAGGAATGCAAAGGTATATTACAATTTCTAAAATAACGGATTTCGTTTACATGAAATGCTGATAGAATAGCATTGCAGAAAATAAAGGAAGCGTTGTCGTATCAGAACAATTACATATAAACATTATTCTCTATACAGTTTGAGAAATAAGTTGTAAAGGTCTGTTAACAAAATAATTTAAATCATATTAATAAAGATAATATATTGTATGACTATATTGTAAATAAAAATAAAAGACAAGACCATTTAAGTTCTATATATTTAGTTATATGTATTCTAAATTTTAGTTTCATCGCATTATTCATGATTTTTCAATATGATTAATTATTGAATTTGGACTTGTAGAACTAAAATTTGAATCAACTTATATTTAATATAGATTGCATAGTTGTTCTTGATATGATTAATATATAGTTATAGAATAGTTGGTAAGTATAATATTATAAAATTTGTTTATAAGTACTTATTTTCCTAACATGGTATCAACCACAATAGCAAAATAAAAAAAAAATGTATGTTATTATGTAGAAAATTTTAAAGATGACTGATAATTGATTTTGTAGTAACAAAACTAAAGTTTGATCTTATTAACTTATCTCTGATATAAATTGTATTCAAACTTTTGAGTATGTATTGCTCAAGACATTTCTAAAGTTAATTTATAATATGTCTATTAAGAATGAATAATAACAATACTTTATTTTTATTTATTATATCATCTGGTTGGTGCTAAACTTTATTAAAAAAAGGTTAAAAAATAAAACAAATGTCCCTAAAAAAAACTTTAGTAATCCTGAATTTTACACATGACACAATATTAAAAAGTCTAATAATGTAAATTTGTTAACTTATTCCTCTTCCCTCACAAACACACACATATATATAGTTAATGTGTACAATATTATAAAATTTGTATAAAAATACTTATTTGACTAACATGATATCAACCATAATAGAAAATATATATATATATATATATATATATGATCATGCCTAAATTTTTAAAGACTATTGATAATTGATTTTGTAATCACATAACTAAAGTTTGACTCTAATTTATCTTTAATATAAGTTGTCTTTATATCTTTGAGTATGTATTGCTTAAGACATTTATAAAATTAATTTATAATGTGAATATTAAGAGTCAACAATGAGAATACTTTTTTTTTCTTCTATTTATGGTATCATCTAGTTAATGCTAAATTTTACTAAAAAATGTCGTAACACCTCAATTTTTTTCTATTAAAATTATATTTTGATAATTAATAATTAATTTGATTGATTTTAATAATTATTTAATTATTTTATGTGAATAGGTATATATATATATATATATATAT